TTTTTATTAGGAAACACCTTGGCATATTCGCCATATCCGTCGTATGCTTTGTTGAGCTGTTCTTTAATAACCGGAACTAATTTCTTGCTCAATAGTCTTGAAGTGTTCCAACCACTGTGTCCGTCAAATACTCCGAAAAATAATCTATCTCCATTTTTCGCACCTAAATCAATTTCTTCAGTCTTTGTATCCTCTATTGGACAATTTGATGCCAGTTGATTTGTATCATATCGATAAACGCCATTATTACGATGCAACAGAAAAGAGGTTTGTTTTTCGCGTAGCTTTAATGTAGCTTCACTTGGCGATAGAACAATTTTATGCTGCTGGTTGTCTGAATTATTATTGATTGGTAGTTTTTCCTTGTAAAAAAAATAGTAAACGGAACTCGCGATTCCTGAAACGGCTACCGAACCAGCAATATATCTAAATAGATGTTTAGACTTTGGAGGATTGTTTTCATTTATCGAGTTCGAAAGATTATTGAAATGATACTTTGGAAAACGGTTATGTATAAATATGTTATTAGCAGTTAAACGTCTTCTGAATAGTAGGGAGCTTTGAATAATAGGTCGATTTGTAGTCATAATTGGTATAATCAAAATAAAGGAGCATGTTACTTAATTATTATTCCCTTTACGCAATAAAAAAAAAAAAAACTTGTACTACAAATTTTTATCTTAGATGTAAATGACCCACGTTATTATTAAGTACGGACGGACGTTATTTGTTTTCCGTTTTCAGTTTGTTATTATCCCATTATTTAAAGTTAATCTTCTGATTAGCCCTATTCATGAAGTTTAAAGTCATTATATAATTAGTTCAGTTTAATAATTTATATATACAGTATATATATTATGATATTAAGAGAACGTTGTTCCAGATATAAAAATCCAATATATTAAACAAGAAGCCAAATCTATATCACGGGATCACATTTTTTTATAGTTCACGTTCTTTAAAAAGCGAAATGATGTTAAATTTTATAGGAAAATATTGCATTAAAGCATTAAAGACAAATATTAGCAGCGTAATTTCCAGAAGATTTACGTCTACTTTGGATTCTGGAAAACCTTCTACTCCAGAAATAAATGAAAATGAATTAGAACAAACTAAAGGTAAAAAAACGCACGATAATTGCCAACGGGGATAATGTACTCATTTCATCAAAATTTGGTCATTAGATGTTAAACAAAAAAAATCCGTACCCTACTTACGATTAAAAGAGGTAAAATCCTCGACTTTTACAAAATTTTCAAAGGTAACATTAACAGAGTGATTTCAGATTCATTCCATAGATAAAGAAACCATTGAAATGATGATTACAAATTATTCGATTGTGCGGACCACTGATAATACCTTTTTTACACTTGCTGTACGACCCTGGAACAAAACTGATAAATATTATAGTAGGTCAAATCCGACCTTTCTTTTTCTTTTATTTAGCCTGCAGTGATCATTAATTTCAAAACATTTGAATTCTTTAAACAAGCCAAAAAAACAAAAGAACCCATCACAACTTATCGTTTACAAACTGTGGTATCTAAGAAGAAAGTTAGCAAACTAGCTGTAGTAAGAAATAAAAT